GTGTTGCTTCAAAGGAAAATTACATTCACTCCGAACCCCCCAGAGCTCAATGTATTACTATACACTAGGTATGTAAGTACGTAGATAAAGAATTTATATTACAAAATATATGGAATCGGAACATCGATAACGAATTGACTAACGTCGCAAATAATCCAACGCGAACAGCAATGACAGCCTAAACTTATATAATATAAAGTGGCTAATTCAGTAAAAAATTTAACTGTGAAAGATAAAACTATTATATTAAAGATTTCTTAGAAACAGGTAAAATAATTGAAATTTTGAAAATTTTTTCAGTAAGGATCGAAAACACTATGCCTTTGATAAATTATATTTTAGTTAATAATATTTTTCTAAACAAACCACACATCGAATTATCACTTTTCTTAGGCTCTTGTTACATACATACATATGTCACCTTTAACATTTCCAATTTACAGGGCTTCAGCGCTGTTTCGCATACTGCTTCTTCTGCTCCTTTTTATGAATCAGCTTTTGTCGAATTCATTTTATTGGTTCATTTAGTGGAAACTACATATAACATTTGATAACTCCATGTGCATTAAAACCTTGGTGACTGCAAAATTTTAACCCCATTAGACACTTTATGTGTGCGACAGTGTAAGTAAATTTAATATATTTGCACTACTAAATAACGTTTAAGCTCCGTGGGTGTGTCAAATTAAGAGTGAATGTTCAAGTAATAGAGGTAATGATATGACAATATCGAGATTTATTTGCATTTTTAAAGCTATATACATGTAAGCATATAAATATGTACATATATAAGTGTATTTAAATATTGTTATAACATATCTGATAATTTCAGATTATAGCCTCGTTTTGTATAAAGGTGTATGTATATTTGTTCATATTTAAATACATTACTAGCCTCATATTATAATAAAGCAATAAATCTTTAGCTAAGCACTTATACAAGGTGCATTCCAAAGTAAACAGGACTTTTTGAATCTAGCGCCCCCTGGTGGTTATCGATTGTCCAGTGAGAATTTCATGACATTTCATGGAAGTGCAGTTATTGAGTTTTAAGTGTCAGTGTGTTTGTGTTATCGATGCGAGAATGAGCTTCGAACAAATAGCCAACATTAAATTTTGTTTTAAAATTGGTAAAACTTTTACCGAAACTTTTCAATCGATAAAACAAGTTTATGGCGATCATTGGCTATCTCATAGCAGAGTGCAAGAGTGGTTTCAACGTTTTCAAAGTTGTCGCGAGGACATAAATGACGATCAACATGTGGGTCTATCAAAATCCGTGATCACCCCAAATACAATCACAATTCAACCATTAACCACTCCCCGTATTCACCTGATATGGCACCGTGTGACTTCTTCCTTTTCGGAAAAATTCATTTGTCCATGGAAGGAAAGCATTATGCAGACATAGAGGCCAACGAGGTAAAACACTCATTCGACATGCTTTTGGACTATGCAAAAAAAGTATTGAAGCAGAAGGAGACTATTTTGAGTAAAACAAATTGATTTTGCCGAAAAAAATTTTGTTTCTGTTTTTTTAAGTCCTGTTTACTTTGGAACACTCCTTGTATAGGCAGATGTAAATCGAATCGAATCGTGCTTACGTGAATATAAATTATAGAAGTTTAGTTTCAAGATATTCTGTCCGTGAGACCGTAAGACTCCTTTAGAATTGACGAGATGTCAAATTTGAACGCTATTTGTCAAAGGTCTTCAACACCAATGATAATTGTTGCAGCCGGATAATGTTATATATGTATGTATATGTGATAGCCAAGTTTATCTGGCATAAATTTATTAGAAGGTATTTCAGTAACGTCTCTGAACTCCGTCAAAAGAAACGGAATTTAAAATCCTTTCATGGTTAGCAGAAGTTTCCATGTGTCGCTCTTCCATATTTAAGAGTTTTCATATTTGTGACGAAAAACTAAATTTTTTTACCGGAATTAAATTAAGTAAAAAGAAGTGTTAATTTCGGATGTACCCGACCATATTATACACTTGAAACTTGCAAAGATCGGCAAATTCCTTATTCAATCCTCTTGATCTATATTGGAAGTAAAATTCATAAGCCATGGGCTAATAAAATGCTCCCAGGTTTTCATCAAGTTTCGAAAATCTTGATATTAGTTTTAAGAGGGCTAGGTCATGTTTTCGATTTTTTTTTTATCGATTATAGACACAGAGGTACACTATTACGAATAAAATACACCCTCTTATTGGCCGATATATGCGATATAAAGTCACCCGGAAGTTCGAAAATCTTTTTTTTAGGTATGTGGGGCTCAAAGGAAGTATTAACCCGATTCCACTCATTTTTGGCCCACTGATGTACTATTATCAGGAACCCTTTCTTTCATGAATTTCAATTACACAATTGTATATACATATATGTATTTTCGATTAAAAGTCAACTATAGATATTGGGGTCACATATTCGGTTCCTATGGGCTCGAACAATTTCGGTCGGACTTGGTCATAAGCTGATATACTATATACTGTATATACTATAAAGTGTAAAGCTCAAAATGATATATGTATAAAGCTATGTTATATGGGAAGAAGAAATGGTGTCAGAAGAATGTTACAAACCGAGTTTGGTGTAGCAGTCCCTGAGATATTTATATACGTCTTCACCTAAAAGTGGGCGGTGCTATTGTGCGATTTTGTCAACGGCTCGCATAAATCCCTCTCGTACCATATCGGCGGTTAAATTAAATGTCTCTTTAGTTATAGTTTAGTACTTTATAAGAGTACCGTTATACGGGAAGTAGATGGGATTATCATCTTAATTTTCACACAATCGGCAGAAGTTCTTATGATTTTGCGTTAGGCGAATTTGATTGTTGTAGCTTTAGTGGTGGGGCCACGTCCTCTTTTTAAAAATTTGTAGCCCACAGGTGTCTTTCTACTGCGATGCTTTGTTCCAAGCTGCAGTTCTATAACTTAATTTAGTGCTGACGGACGGAAAGACAGTCACTCGGATTTCAACTCGTTTCTCTCTACCACGCTTGAGATAATAAGAGCAATACCTACATATGAATATACAGTGGGTAGAAAAAATAAGTTATCAAAACAGCCAGCGAGGTTTGAAACCTTCTATACTTTTTGCTTAATTGAATATAATTTTTTTTGTATATATTCAGAAAGTACCGTTATCAAAGTACCGCAAATGATGATTTTAGTGGCAACCGCTTTTCTGGTAAGAAAGTTTCGTGGCCTTTTATAGAAATGCTCAGTGACAAAGCGTGGAAAAAGTAAGTTATCAATTGCAGTAATTAGTGTTTTTCATATTAAAACTTGAAAATAAATTAAAAGAAAGCATTAAACGTAAAAGATTTGTTTATTTTATAAAATTTGAAATTGAATTGTTAACTAAAGTTTTAGTTTTTTTAATTTCATTTTTTGAAATATTAAGGCGATTTTTTTACGGTAAATTAAAAAAAAATCTGAAAAGGCTGAATTTCAAACAATTAACGAATGAGGAATGTTCAGCCATAATTAATTTGCATAAAAATGGTCACACCCAGTATTATAATACTGAAAAATTTAATAAAAGCCAGGTTGCAAAGCCAGGAAAGTTATTGCCGTCTACAACAAAGAGAATCGAGTCGTCAGGAAGAAGAAGCAAGGGCACCAAAAATAACAACGGGAGAGTTGATAAATGAACTTTTTCCAATTCTGATCCCTTCAAATCAGTTTCAAAAATTCGCGCACATCTTATAAAAGATGGGCATGAATGCCCCCTCAGTGCACACTGTCCGTAACAGATTGCACCAAACCAATATTCACAGCCGCGTTGCAAGAAAGTTACTATACCTAAGTGAGGCAAATAAAAAAACGACAAGCATTTTATAAAGAGCACATATTAAAATCTTAAAATTTTTGGCATAAAGTGCCGTGGACTGAAGAATCGATGATTTGTTTTCGTTATTCCTACTGTATGGTTTACGTTTGGTTCTCACCCGAACAAGAACTATTATACAAGTGCACTCTACCCACAATTAAGTCGGTGGAAAAGCGCTTAATGGCTTGGGGATGCTTATCTGCGGATGGCCCAGCAATATTGCAATCCTGGAAGGAAAAGCTACTGCTGAAGTTTATATAAATATTTTAAGGAAACACGATATCTCCGAGGGTCACCTACTAATTCGGCCTGATATTCTTTTTCAACCTGACAACGCGCCCATTTATACTGCAAAAAACATCACAGAACATCTACAAAATGAAAATGTGAGTGTATTGAAATGGCCTCCTCAAAGCTCTGACTTGTCACCAATTCAAAAAAATTGCACAATTCTTAAGATGCGTATATCTGAGGAGAAACCCTAAAAGCTGGTTGATTTGAAGAACTGCATCTAGAACATTTGGAATAATTTTTCTCAAAATTTGTGTTTGAAACTTGCCAACTTCATGAAATAACGATTGGGTCAAATAGCAAGACGTAATTAGGGACATTGTGGATATTAAACAATTTCATAACTTATTTTTTCTACATGTAATTTACTGTATGTGTGTATGTTTTCCTTTTATAAAAGCATTGAACTTCTCTTTTGTTTTAAAATTACTTTAATTAGATACTTTCAAATATGGCCTCAATAAAAACAAAATATTTCGTTTGAAAAATGTAAACTTTAAAAATTTATTAACTTTGCTGTTTTATATTTCACTTTGATAACTTACTTTTTCTACCTACTGTTTATGTGTATATTTTTATGTATCAGTATCCGAATGAAAAATTGAACCAATCATCTCAAATAAAAAAGGATCTGTCGATATCTCAGTAAGTTTTACAATAATGCTACCAAATATGGTATAGAGATTTTAGACTTGATTTACTAATTGAGACAGCCTGAATTACCAAAGTACGAGTTGATGCCTCATTATAAGAGAAATACAATTAACAAGAAGTTACTAAATTAGATCTCTAATAGCCAAGAAGTGAAACCAGCTTTGAACCGTCTAAATAACATTCAAAAACGAATTGCATTCATACTTACATGAATTCTTCCACTGTTGGAATTTGTGGTAAAGAAAGCAGGAACAAATGAAGAAAATAACCGATACAATGAGCAGCGTCAGTATGACTCCGATCCAAATGTCACTCACCACCAACGGTATTTCGGTCTCATGATGGCTGTATGCGCTGCGGGGCGGCTGTATGTGACCGCCCTCCGGTGGGCCACTAAAGGGGTCCAGAAATTCGTTTGAACCGCCCACAGCCACTTCGATTTCTTTCCGATCCAATGAGAGATTGCCCAAGGCTGAGTCCAGACCTAGCGCCAGACGTTCTAACTTATTAATGAGTACGGAATAATTCTGTGGCAGTTCGAACAGCTCCAGTGTGTCTTTGGAGTTGGTTGTGTAATTTGTGGAGATAACTTGCAGCTCGGACATGCTGTCGTCTTCTGTGTTGCTTTTTTATTTACTTATTTATACACGTGTGTATATAAGGTGGGTATGTATGTATATATTTATGTAGTTCAGATGTTCACAGTAGTTGAGAGAAGCTGTTGGTTTTTGATTTTGAATATGTTTTATTTAAGTTGTTGTATTGTAAATACTGTCACTAAATTCCGTTAATTGTTTTTGGATAGAATTACTTTGCAAAGTGCTCTTAAGGGTTTTATCGACTTTATACGCGCAGCTTCATGTCGCAACTGAAAATATGCAGAGGTGTAAAATGGCAAAATGTTAACAGAGTTTTGAAAGTTTTTGCCTCCGCCATTGATCTGCCTTGTGATTAGCGCTGTTTCCGTCACAGAATGCGTCGCTGATCGGCGCGTTCGGCGATTCGCTGAGAAAGCGCGGGAACGCGTGCGCACTCGTGAATTTGCAAGTGTTCCATTCAAATTTTTATTAACACTTTTATGTTAATAATTTCGGTTAATAATTTTAAATCAAAACAATTCTAAGAGCTAAGAGCTTCCCTAGAGAGCACAGGTATAGATACATACGTACATATATATATTTATATAAATATAAGTGTTTAAGTGAATGACATATGCACGCTCTTTTGCTAGCTGCCCTGTGAAGACGCCTACAAATAATATGCTCTTCAAAGCGTTGATTTGTGTAAATCTCTGTTTGTTTGTGTCTTTATGTATAATATATATGAATATTTCAATGTATGTATGAAAATATTCAAGTTTATTTGCTCCAAAAATATTTGTTCGCATTTTTGCCTATAGTATTTGCACCCAGCAAAATTCCAACAAAGTAAGCCTTTGTTATAGTAAGTCTCTCAATCGAAAAAAGGGTGTTACTAAGAGGCCAAGGCGAGCATAAAAACAAATAAAACTAAATAAATAAAAATAAATAAAAAATATTTATTTATAATGGAAATGCACATACATATGTATGCTAGAAATACCACATACAGCCTCCCTTATGAATTGTCGACAGCATTCTCATTTCACTAAAAGGTTGGAGAAGCGCGCTATTTGATAAATGACGTTTTTGGCAACTCGATATGTATTTTGCATTTAGTGCTTGATTTTAGACAAATTTATCTTTGAAAACTTCCGAAAGTACACATTTTTTATACTAAATAGCATTACTTAGATATTTATAAAAATTAAGTGTTAAATAATAATGTCTACACTTCATATACATTTCTAAAATTGAAAAGCTTTTTTTTTTTAATTTTTTCAAAGAATATCAAGACAAGACAATAATTCTAGGGATATGCAAGAATGATAAAGACCAGAATGCAACACGCTATCACATAAATGAAACGAACTGTCAAATTTTGAGTGTAATTGTAAACAAAGTTTCCCCTTTCCTTCGAAATAGAAACGATTTTAATCTATATCTATCATTCTGGAGCGAGATTCACTTAACTCATAAATCCATTATAAAGCCAATCGAACAGGCAGGAGTTAGTATACTTATTTTATATATAAGTTACATATATGTACATATATAACAATTCCATCAAATTTTAGAACTCAATTCCAACGAAATGGTTGCTTTTGTTCAATTTCGACAGGGATCGCACTTAGGACAGTCTTTTTTATTCATTCTTGAGTAGGCAGTATTCACAATTGTATAGATTTCCTTTTTTTTGATGAAAAATTTCCCTCATTTATGGCAACGTTATATAAATGTTCCATGCTTTCAATGAAAATGGAATAAACAAGTAAGGAAGGGCTAAGTTCGGGAGCAACTGAACATTTTATACTCTTGCAGCTTGTAAGAATCAAAGTGAGGGAAATACTTTAAGGTATAAAACAATCATATAGAGCCAAGTTTTCGCTCAAATTTATCTATTTTAGGCACAAAGATACACTGCTATGAGTAAAACCGCTCTCTTTTATTTTCATTGGGATAACTCATATACAAGTAATTATATGGGAGCTAAGGGAAGCATTGGTCGGTTTCAACCCATTTTAGATATGCGGACATGCCATTATATTATTATATTAGATAATATAATATATTATTATATAAGATATATTATTATATTAGATGTGGTCTGATTCCACCCATCTTCGAACTCGAACTTTTTTTTGTACTAAGAAACCTGCTTACCAAGTTTCATCAAGCTATCTCAATTTTTACTCACGTTACAGCTTACACGGGCGGACAGACAGTCAACCGGATTTCAGTTTTTTTCGTCATCCTGATCATTTACATATATACATACATACATATATAAAGCTAACAAAAACTATAATACGTACTACAGTTAAACATGCCAATCAACTTATTTATATCTCTACATTGAGATTAACAAAACTAATCGATTCATTATGATTAGTAAAAAAGCTTAATTTAAAGACAAGAAGGGCTAAGATCGGCTGTAAATAAACATTTTATAATAATTATACCCTGAATATATGTATGTATATAATATATATGTATGTATATAAATGATCATTGAGCTGAGTCGGTTTAGCCATGTCCATCTGTCTGTCTGAATGTCTGTATATATACGAACTAGTCCCTCAGTTTTTAAGATATCGTTCTGAAATTTGCAAACGTCATTTTCTCTTCAAGGAGCTGCCTATAACATATAGCTGCATACAAACTGAGCGATCGGAATCAAGTTCTTGCATAGAAAACTTTCACATTTGACAAGCTATAATCACGAAATTTGGTGTAGATTATTCTCTAAAGCAACTTCGCAATCTTCGAAGAAATTGTTCAGATCGGATTACTATAGAGTATAGCTTCTATACCAACTGAACACGTAGTTACTAAGAATATGTACCTGTGAAAGGTATATTAGCTTCGGCCCTCCTTTGACATCCTGGATGTAAAATTTAATGTACCTTACGCGATTACTGTGTGAGAAATAACAACGATATTTGTTACTTGCCTTGAAAAGCTATAAAGATTTCATGATGGGTTTCAGAGGTCCACAAATTGCTTTTTAAATTAAACTTTACTCGTGTTATTCATTGTATGGGAAAGAATTTATATTATCTTGCTAGCCCTATTTCCTTTTCGATTAATCAGTCGACTGCCTTCTTTCAATACAAATAACTTGCGTGTTGATATCTAATTGCAATTTTTCTGAGGCCTTACCATGGGATAATTAAGCAAAATCCCTGAACTAATAAAATTTTCTCCTTAGAAAACAATTTCTAGTTAGATTTTAGACAGGAATTTTTAGGTTAAGTTTTTTGCGGGGTGTCACATCAAAAAATATAGCATTTGGTAGAAGTAAAATGCCATTTAGAGTTTTGATAGTTTAGAGAGTATGAGAAAAGCAACGGATGATATAGATCATCATTTCTTACTGTCCTTTTGATATATATAAGAATATTTGAGATATTTTCGCACGGTTTCTGTATTAGGTTTATAATATGTTTTAAAATAGCTATTATTTATATATATATTTACAATTTATAGTTTTCAAATTGTTCGAGTAGTTCCATTTTTCAGCAACATTTGTGTGGAATACCGTAGTATTTGAACTTCTTTCTTCCTACAAGGTGCGTTCCAAAGAAAACTGGACTTTTGAATCTAGCGCCCCCTGGTGGCGCCATCTATATGTCGACTGGTGCGTTAGAATCTGCTATCCTTATCGATTGTCCAAAAAGAATTTCATGACATTTCATGGAAGTGCAGTTATTGAGTTTTAAGTGTCAGTGTGTTTATGTTATCGGAGCTTCGAACAAAGAGCCAACATTAGATTTTGTTTTAAAATTGGTAAAACTTTTACCGAAACTTTTCAATCGATGAAACAAGTTTATGGCGATCATTGGCTATCTCATAGCAGAGTGCAAGAGTGGTTTCAACGTTTTCAAAGTGGTCGTGAGGACATAAATTCGTGATTACCGGAAATTCCATCGAAACTGTGCGTAAATTCATTAAAAATCAGCCGAAATAATCATTGAAATTCATACAGATGGAATTAAACATCTCCAAAACAACGATTTATCGTTATGTGTACACGGTTTATTCCGCACAAATTGACTGGCGACCAAAAATTGCTTAGAATCCAACATTCCATGGACGACTATTTGACCAAAAATCACATTTTAACCATTAACCACTATCCGTATTCACCTGATACGGCACTTCTTCCTTTTCGGAAAAATGCACTTGCCCAAAAGGCTTGCGCCGGCATACTGGTGGCCATACCGGCCAATTACCATCACATTAATCTTTAATTCACACGGAATATTCATAACAATCCAAATATATTTGAGCTGTTTACTTTCGATATTTATCGCGACTTATTCAAAAGATGGATTGTTAAGTCGTAAAGTAAATGAAAGCCATTTCATTCGTACCTTATCTTTTACCGTTTCGCTATTAATGAATATTAGAGCAATAAATAAGTATTGAGGGTGCTCATGAGTGTTTAGGTTTAGAAATTTTGTTTTACTCTTCTAAATATAATATGATAATATCCAGGATATTGGGCGTAGTAAAAACGGTTTCTTTTTAAGGGTGAAATTTAGATTGGTGGTTCGACTGGATTCAGCTATTTAACTGTTTTAGTGCACTTGAAAGCAAAGTTCGGATTTTCCGGGCTTAAAGAGAGTTTACACAACAGAAGATATTCGTAGCATCGTCTTGGAAAGTTCGCATCGGTTTTATGAGAGGGCATCACTGGGACATGTTTTGGATCGTTCATGTAAATACCGCTTTTGTGCTACTTTTTGTTTTTTACTTCAAAATGTCTTTATGTTTCAATTGCCCTTTCATTGTTACTAAATTTCTTTTCAGCGAGCATTTTTGTGTCGATCGATAATAAATTGGGTTAAAAACACTGCTGAAGATCATCGATTCGTCATCGAAATTTATATGAACGAGCTGACCAATATGTTGCTTTGAAATCTTTAGAATGTTAGCTATTTGGATGAATTCATTTTACGGTCATGCAAAATATTTTATTGGTTTTTAGTTTCGTACTCAGTATATATACTGTGATTTCGTATATAACGCGCTCTTTGGGGCATCTTCTGGGTATGCTCACTTCGGTGCCCTGTTCGAAGTTTCTTCAAATTACGTAGGCGAGATTTAACGGATGGTGGTTTTGCCTGACGCAGAGCAAGAGAAACACTTATAAAGCAGATAGTAGATATTAATGGCGATCTCTCTCTCTCTCTCTCTCGAATAATTGTATATTGATAGTATATTGATAAAGATTTATGATAATTAGCCGTGAACTTTCGGAAAGGAAACGTCTAACTTCACGTGG